TACCAAAAATAAATTTAATTTCAAGATTAGAGTGGAAGCCAGGCCCCAGTGGTTCATGCCTGTAATCCTGCCTAACTCAGGAGACTGAGATCTGAGGACCATGGTTCAAAGACAGCCTGGGCAGGAAAGTTTGTGATAGTATTATCTCCAATTAACCACCAAAAATTTAGAAGTAGAGCTGTGGCTCAGGTAGTAGAGTCACTAGAAAAAGCTAAGAAAAAAGCTAAGGCCCTGAGATCAAATCCCAGGACACATGTATGCACGCATGCATGTACGTACACCCGCGCCCTCCCCCCCACACCAAACAATGAAAATGGAAAGATTAAGATAAATTTAATTTAAAAATCAGAATGGAAAGGTCAAGAAATGGAAAAGGAAAAGGCTTTTGTTCTCCTGAGAATTGTGAATTGTCTTGGTCCCTGCTCAGGAAAACTGTCATGCTCAGGACTTTCAGAACAGCTTTTTTTTTTTTTTTTTCTTAAACTAAATAAAGAGGTCCAAAATAAGCATGATAAGGTTAAATAGCAAGTCTTTATTGCTAGGAAATGGTTTACTTCCAGATGCATAAGAACACAAGTTTGGCTGGTTTGCTGAGCAAGAAAGAAGATACAGTTATCAGTAGTCATTTATGTCATTGTGGTAGCACAAAAGGATTGAATCCTTAGTTTAAGAACGTTGTAGGTTTTCCTTTAAAAAGAACAGCCTTTTTTTCAGCTTCAGCTGGGCAACTCTTCAAATAAGATAAAAAAAGAACAAAGACACTAAAAACAAACCTCCCGCCCTCAAACAGGACTGCATAGACAAGTAGACTCTCTTGGCCAAGACTGTGAAGAGAGCAGAAAAAGCAGCTTCTTAGGCAGTAGGAACCATAAAGGCAAAACAGGCAAGTGTGTGTCCCAGAAAGGTTGACAAGTATACTACAACCTTGACAGTAGTCTTCAGATGATGGTGAGGTGGTGAAACAAACAGGTCTACTTTTAGTTCTCTTCAATTTATGATCTCTTGGAGCTAAGAAAATCTTGTGTTCGGAAAGGACTGTTGCCAGTGGGGGAGGGGAGACATTTTGTCTTCACAAAATAGAAGCAAATGTGGTGGCCATCACTGCTTCTCTTTCATCTTGAACACTGTGATCCCTTCTCTCATTTCCTTTTCCTTCATCCTCAGCCCTCCACTGTGAAATGACATGTAGGATTCTTTTTGTTCTCTGACTCTAGCTTATTTTGGGTGTGACTGATTCTTGGCTGAACTATGGCAGTTTTTCTCATTTGGACAGAATAATGGCTAATTATTGAGGCCACCACACTCTCCTACTTGGATATTGGGGAATTGGAAAATAACTCTAGAGTTAATTAACTAGTTGACTTTGGAGGAAGCCATTTCCCTCCCCATAGAGAAACCGTGATTTGAGGGAGGGCCAGAGCAATGGAAGAGGGAATCTCAAAGGAAACAGATTCTGTAATAACCAATCACTAGGTCTCTGTTCTTCTTATATTAGTCTTTAGCTTTGTAGTTGACTCTCTAAAGGTAGGGGCAAGATCTCAGTGTGTATAAGTCTAGAGAAATTTTTTTCAGTTTCTGGAAGTCTCTCCTGAAAAATGAGATAGTTATGTAATATTACACTCATTTACATCACCTTTTATTTTCAACTTAAAGTATTACCAGAAATAATAACCTTTCTGATAGGTACCTGAAGAAGAAAAATATCTGCTCAGCATTGATGTGCTTGATGGCTTTTTATCTCTGTACCTAATTTCTTTTCTTTCCTGTTTGTCCTTTTTTGCCCATTAAAATATATAACTTATGTGGCCTACCTCGCTGTCTTACATATTGACAAGTCATCTACCTGTTCACTTTACTCCTTGCATTGAGAGGATAGCCTCATTACATGACTAATATTGTGGGACAGGTAGAAGGCCAGAGTAATTATTATTATCTTCAAATTGTTGTCTAAAGGGGTTTCAGTTCAAATGTGTCCATTTATATGTACAAAACTTCTTGATTGGGTGTTACCCCTTCCATCTTCCTCCCTCCTATCTGTCCCAGCCCTACTCACCTACTTGTCTTTTTTTTGGTTGTGGGCCTTGATGCCTGGGCCTAGGCACTGTTCCCTCAACTCTTCAGCTCAAGGCAAGCACCCTACTGCTTGAGCCACAGCACCACTTCCAGTTTTCTAGTGGTTTATTGGAGATAAGAGTCTCACAGACTTTCTTGCCTGGGCTGGCTTTGAACCTTGATCCTCAGATCTCAGCTTCCTGAGTAGCTAGGATTACAGGCATGAGTCACCGTCGCCTGGCTCATCTTTTTAGTTCAGTTTTCATATATGTACATTGACATTATGACTATATTCACCCACCCTTCCTTTCTGTCTCCATCTGCTCCACCTCCTTTTAACTGCCCTCCTGACAAGACCTGTTTCAGCTATCTGGTATTCATCTTGTTAAACTTTTCATTGTTAGAAGGAGTTACACAATGGAAACCCACCCTTTCAGTCCATTTGTGTATACGTGTATATGGCCCTATGTTTGTTTTCATGTACGTTTATATTTCAAGCCTAATTTCTACATAGGAGAGAACATGTGCCCTTTGTCTCTTTGAGCCAGACTTACTTAATAAAATTTTTTCTAGGTCCATACACTTCCTTGCAAATTATATAATATAATGCTTCCTGATGGATGAGTAAAATTCCATTGTACATATATACCACATTTTATTGATCCAGTTACTTCGATCGTGAAGGCTCTGTACTGTCTCCTAAACTTTTCTGTTGTGAATGGTGCTGCAGTGAACATGGGTGTGTAGGTACATTTATTGTGTCCTAATTTACACTCTTTTGTATAAATGCCCAAAGTGGTATTGCTGGATCTATTTTAGTTTTTTGAGGAATTTCCATACTGCAGAGGAATCTTATCTGTTCCTTTTGGCTCATTTTCTCTCACTAGAGGATATAGTTTTATGTCCTAGAAATCTGTGTTCCTGGGCAGATTCACCTCCATTAGTAGCTATTTTCACCAAACTAGTTGCAATCTTAAGCACCGTTAGCTTTGGTCAAAGTTAAACTGAAAACCTAGATTTGAAAAGTTTGCTATTCTAATTGTGCTTTCATAGATTTTCCTTATTTAAAATAATTATGCACCAGTTAGCTATTGGCCATCACACACAAGCCATAGAATTAATTACAGCCTGAGTCCTCTGGGTCCTGCAGGGCCTACTGCTCAAACATCAGAGCTGCAGACAGAACAGTATCTGTCTTCAGAGCTAGCCTCTCCTGAGAGCTCTGCCTCATGGTGAGCGCGGTTTCCCTCCAGCTACCTAGGCATCTTCATCTATGGGCCCTTTCTCTAGTCTAGACCATGCCTCCAGTGTGTTCCTGGCGGTGTTCCCTGCTGCCTACCCAGTATGTAGCTGCCTACTGTTGGGCAGTAGCTCACTGCTTTGGCATCCTGGTGTGTAAATATTTGTCAAAGGACAGGGGCATTTTCCCATTCCTCAAAAAGCATTCTGAAAAATGTGCCTGTTTTCTTAGTCATATTTCCAAGCTGTGGCTCAGTTAGACCATTCATTCCTTGGAGTTGACAGACTCTAGCCTGGCTTCCACTGGCCACATAAAGTAAGTATGCAGTAACTTCTGGCACAATAACTTTCAGATGTTGGTACTAAGAAGTCCTGGACTTAGAGGAACAGAGACAACATAGTTACTATTAGAGAAAACATTGTTTGGTTAACAGAAAAAAATTATCCAACTTATCTGTTAAGCATTATCTTTCTCTCACACTTGTTATTAAAGTTAAGCTTTTAGATTCTGAGGGAGAACTTTATTCTTCATGTTTGTAGCTTTACTTTTAGGTCTCTTGTAATCAGAGGGTTTTTGTTTGTTTGTTTTTTGCCGGTAGGGGGCTTGAACTCAGGGTGTAGGGATTGTCCCTGAGCTCTTTTGCTCAAGGCCAACACTCTACCACTCTGAGCCACTGCTCCACTTCTAGTTTTTGAATAGTTAATTGGAGATAAGAGTCTCACAGGGTCTTTTCTGCCCCAAATGGTTTTGAGCCACAGTCCTCAGATCTCAGCCTCCTGAGTAGCTAGGATTACAGGCATGAGCCACCTGCAATGGCATAATCCGGGTTTTTGTTCTACATCCAAGTCTGCATCTACAGAGGTGAAATTGCTGAGCTGTTGTCAGTATGGAGTACAATTGATGAAATGTTGATTCTGTCAACTCTACCTAAGACTAAGTCTCTGTAGTATGGCTAATGAGGCTGAGAAGGCAGTCATTAATTGTGGAACAGAATATTCTCTTTGTTCAAAACCAAGTAATCCTTACCTAAGGTTTGGTTAATACTGGAATTGAATGGAGTTAAGGAACCGATTGCTCACATAGTCCCACTAGATTAAAGTAACTGCTAATGTGCCTTATTAATTGTTGGTATTCCTTGCTTCCTTTTTCTCTTAAGCCTCACTTTCTAGCACCTCTTCCTTCTTATTCTCTAGTCCTTTTTTTTTTTGGTCATAGGGCTTGAACTCTGGGCCTGCACGCTGTCCCCAAGCTCTTCAGTTCAACTAGTGCTATACCACTTGAGCCATAGCTCCACTTCTGGTTTTCTGGTGGATAATTGGAGACCAGAGTTTCACAGACTTTCCTGCTGGGGCTGGCTTTGAGCTGTAATCCTCAGATCTCAGCCTCTTGAGTAGCTAGGATTACAGGCGTGAGCCACCAGCACCCAGTTTTCTCTAGTCTTTTGATTTAACACTCTTAAGTCTGGTAAACATAGACCTATTTGTATTGTCAAGTCTATAATATAGTTATCATCTTTACCTGTTTTGACTATTACTGCCTCAACCCTTTCCCTACCAGAAGTTGATATAGGTACATGAGGCTATCAGATGTTGAGATCTTCATAGAATTGATTTGGAAACAGTAACATAATTCTATTCATTACAGCAACTGCTTTGTTCCTCTATAATACATTATTTTGAGTGTTCTAATATGTAATTTCTTCCTACAGATCATCAATTTCTATATGAACATGCTAATGGAACGAAGTAAAGAGAAGGGATTGCCAAGTGTGCATGCATTTAACACATTTTTCTTCACTAAGTTAAAAACAGCTGGTTATCAGGCAGTGAAACGTTGGACAAAGAAAGTGGATGTATTTTCTGTTGACATTCTTCTAGTGCCCATTCACTTGGGTGTGCACTGGTGTCTAGCTGTGAGTACCTCCTTTATTTCTGATAAAATTTTTAAAGATTTTTTTATTAGCTAATATTAGTTGTATAGAGTAAGTTTCATTGAGACATTTCTACTTCTACATACTGTGTAATCACATAAACTTACCTCTTCTACCTCTGCCCTCCTTCTCCATCCCCTTAAAACAATTTCAACAGATTTCATTTTTCCATTTCACACATTACTGTTAAAATAGAAGAGAAATTACATAACTATAGAAGACAAAGATTTATGAGTATCATTTGTACATCTTCACTTGATGGAGAGAGAGAGAGTAGTGTTAAGTAGTAGTAGGTTGGCTAAAAATCAGATAGATCAATGAACTTCCTGTCTAGAGAGGGAGACACTTTGACTTTGAAGAAAGTTGTGGAATTTCCTTTTCTGGAAATATTTAAACGGGAGTTACAAGTTATCTAACCAGTCTCAAGGCAAGGAATGGGGAGGAAAAGTGGCTTCTTAATGATGTTGCCAACTTAAGATTCTGTGACTGTTTTTTCTGTCTACTCATAAATTGCCTTGTATATGTGGTGATTTGAATTTTTTTTAATGTCTTAGAATATGGATACATCAGTGTGTTAATAAATTTGCTTTACATTCTGTTTTGAATTACAGTTACCTTGCTCATGTAACTGGAACCCCTTTTGTACAGTATTTTCACTATTAAAAAACTTAATTAAAAAAGGCATAAATCCAAAAAGTAATTCTCAAAGAAGCAAAACTTAAATCAAGGCCAAGAAATAAAAGGGGACTTAGGGAGGCAGAAAGGGAAAAAAAGTGGGAGAGGGGAGAAGGAAGAGTAATGATACATTATGCACATGTATAGAAATGTCATGATGAAATCCTTTACTATGTGTCCTTTAATAAAGGCCATTAAAAAAGATAAAATAGAAAAAAATAGAAAACCCAGGATCTTTGTACCATCTTTCTGAAATTGTAGAAATGATCTAAGGTACTCAACATTCTCTGTAGTAAATGCTGTTTCTACTGTTGCCCACCCAGCAGAGGGAGAAACTGAGCAGTTGAAAAAGATTTCAGGCCAGTAATGACTCACCAATTGATCAGCCCTCAGCATAATTTTCTGTAAATAATCCCTTCATTCTCCTTGTTTCTGCAGAATGTAATAATATATAATATACAAAGTACCCATCAGTCTTATCACAGTTTTCTTTGTTTCTTTCTCTCTCTCTCTCTCTCTCTCTCTCTCTTTCCCTCTCTTTCTTATTTTTTTTTTTTTGCTGGTCCCAGGGCTTGAATTTAGGACCTGGGCCCTGTCCCTGAGCCTCTTTGTACTTAAGGCTAGTACTCTACCACTTGAGCCACAGCACCACTTCTGACTTTTTTTTTTTTTTTGAGTAGTTTATTAGAGATAAGAGTCTCATGGATTTCCTGCCCAAGCTGGCTTTGATCAGCAGTCCTCAGATCTCAGCCTTCCGCGTAGCTAGGATTGCAGATGTGAGCCACAAGCATGTGGTTCCTCTCACAGTTTCTCAGGAAGTCCAGGAAAAGGTTCCAGGAGCTTGAGAAGTTAAAAACTACAAGGCCAATTTTCTTTATTTTTATTTCTATTTTTAATTTTACCTTATTTTTGTATGTGCTTAAACTCAGCCAGGGGGCTGTCCCTGTGCTTTTGTGCTCAGGGTTACCTCTACCACTTGAGACGCAGCTTCATTTCTAGTGGATTAATTGGAAATAAGAGTCTCATGGATTTTTTTTTTTGCCTGGGCTGGCTTTGAATTGCAATCCTCAGATCTCAACTTCCTGAGTAGCTAGGGTTACAGGCATGAGCTACCAGAAACCAGACAAATTTTTTCACTTTATAAACACAGATTCTTTTTTTTTTCCTTATCACTAGGTTGTGGACTTTAGAAAGAAGAGCATTACCTATTATGATTCTATGGGTGGAATAAACAATGAAGCCTGCAAGATTCTCTTGTAAGTGGAGGATTGTGGCAGAACTGAGTTTGGTGTTGGGTATGGGATCTGTTGTTAAATTCTGTTTGATACCTATAGAACAGAGGTTAACAAAACCATCTTATTGAATAAAAATGAACATTGTAAATCTAAATAAGGAATAATAATGATACAGTATAAAGAATATGCCTTATAGGTTGCAGTTACTGACCCATATACTGAAAGTACAGAACATAGAGATAGGATCACTAGTTAGAAATCATTTCATTCAACCTCAAATGTTTTCAAAACACCATTTTTTCATTTTATCATTTTGATGACCAGGAGGAGGTAGGCTTCAGAATGGTGATTCTAGTAGTTTGCACTCAAAAGAGTGCTCTAGATGAAGCTTGTACTCATTACATTATTGATTCCGACTGAATTTTCACACAGGAGAACCAAGCCTACCTAGTGGTAAATGCACATCTCAGTACTGCTAGGGAATCACTTGTACCAATTAGGTTGAATTCTAAAGAACTATATATAGCAAGAGAAGAATAAAAAATTGTTTCTCAGAAAGAAGGTCAAAGTGGTCTGTGTATCAGAGGCAGAGATCATGTCCCTTGTGGGGTAACAGAGTGGCTTCATTGTGAGAGTCTTGAGAGACCTACAGGCCCAAGTGAAGCTTAGCAGTGTAATCATTTCCTGCCCAGCAATATGTATTTTCTCAGAACAGCAGCTGATTGCCTGCCCCATTCTTAGGCTGGCAGCTGTCATCTGAATTCCTCACAGTTCATTTCATTCTCTTCTAATACCTTTAGGCAATATTTAAAACAAGAAAGTATTGACAAGAAGAGAAAAGAGTTTGACACCAATGGCTGGCAGCTCTTCAGCAAGAAAAGCCAGGTACCTTTCATGGAAATGTGTTAGAAGTCCTAAGAGAAGGCCATGTGGGGAGGAAAGTATCCCCAAGGATCTTCTGTCTTACTGCTAGCCTGACTTCAGTGGCTAACCACTTTGTTTGGCTCAGTGAGAAAGATTGATTTATCTGTTTGTGGGAAAATTCATAATGGGTTTCTTACATAGAACTAAGTTCTCTAGGTGCCCAGCTATTTTGCTGTTTTTTTATTCTAGTAGGAAACACATTGATGATTTGAGCTGTCTTCTCCCTTAGGGGAAGGTACAGTTTTTATATATCTTTGTGCATGAAAATGAGATATACTCCAGTAAGATTAATACAAAATGTATAGACCTGATTGAAAGTGTGTGTGTGTGTGTGTGTGTATTCCTTTTAACTTCTATTGTCCTGAGTTAAGGACCAGGGTAACACTTGAAACATTTGGGTAAACATGTAAGATTTATGTCCTTTAGTTCTTTTTAATCTAAGAAGGAAAGAAGCTTGCAAAATGCCACCTTATTGTTGCTGTTCTTTCAGGAAATTCCCCAGCAGATGAATGGAAGTGACTGTGGAATGTTCGCCTGCAAATATGCCGACTGTATTACCAAAGACAGACCAATCAACTTCACACAGGTAAGCTGAGCCTTCAGGAGGGGCCCCTGGGACCACCTGGTCTCTAGCCTGTCCATAGTTGCCATTCTCTGCTATGGAGTCCGCCCTAACAATTACCATCTTTTAGATTATGTCTCAATGCTGATGGTTACTATGTATGACATGTCATAGAAGAAGAAAAATAGTAATAGGCCACATCCTGGCTTACTATATCACATAAGATAGTAAAGGAATCTTGATTAAAAGCAGAGCCTTATTCTTGTCCATCTTCTCTACCTTCCTCAAATCTCATACAAGACTGAAAATAAGACCATAGTTAAATTTTCTCCTATTCCCATGAACTTGATTTAAGATTCAGGTTTGGAATAGGCGCTGCCTTGATTTCCTAGTGTTGTTAATGCTGCCTCTCTCTTGATGCAGTGGTCAGTCTTGTCTCAGTGATTGGTCTTGATGATTGATCATTTCTGTACACATTATCCTTCAGAGGTTAAAGTGAATTGAGACTACAGGTACAGTTTACTTTGATGTGTTTCCCCTTGACTCTCTACTTCTGTTTGAATAAATGGCCTTCCCAGAATTTTTCTAGCCCTTTGTCTAGACAAGACTGATCTGGCTCTTGAAATTCTTTTAGTTACTCTTCTAAAATAAGTTGTTCATTTTCAGGCTTCATTCTCATATCCTTTTAAAACATCAACATAGGCTGGGCACTGATGGCTCACACCTGTAATTAAGGAGGTTGAGATCTGAGGCAGCTCAGAGGGGAAAATCTGTGAGACTCTAACTTTATCCGAAAGTGTAGCTGTAGCTCAAGTGGTGGAGTGCTACCCTTAAGCAAAAGAAACTCAGGGACAGCACCCAGGCCTTAAGTTCAAATCCTAGGACTGGTACCAAACCCCCCCCCCCCCAAAACCAAAAAAATCCCCCCAAACCCAAAGAACAACAGCAAAAAAAACAAACAAAAAAAAAAACCCAGCCGGGCGCTGGTGGCTCATGCCTGTAATCCTGGCTACTCAGGAAGCTGAGATCTGAGGATGAGGTTCAAAGCCAGCCCAGGCAGGAAAGTCAGTGAGACTCTTATCTCCAATTAACCACAAGAAAACTGGAAGTGGCACTGTGGCTTAAGTGTTAGAGCACTTGCCTTGAGCTGAAGAGCTCAAGGACAGCGCCCAGGCCCAGAGTTCAAGCCCCATGACTGACCCCCATCCCCACCCCACCCCCCAAAAAGCAGGCATGGTACTACACACTTGTAATCTGAACAGGAGACAGAGGAAGGAGGATTGAAGGTCAAGGGCAACCAGGTAAAAAATTTAGTGAGACCCTACCTCAAAACAAGCTGTGGTATACCCCTCTAACCCCAGCTACGCAGGAGGTAGAAGAGGATTGGGGTCAGAAACCAGTCCAAGCCAAGTTATTCAAGATCTTATCTGAAAAACAAAGCAAAAGGACTGGGTATGTGGCTCAAGTGGTAGAGTACTTGCCTAAAGTGTGAGATCCTGAGTTCAGTCCCTAGTAATGAAGAACAGAGGGGGGGGGAGGGAGGGAGGAAGGGGGAGAGAGGGAGGGAGAGAGAGATGGAGAGAGAGAGGGAGAGAAAGTTCGGCATAGAATGATCAAACACCATTCTCATAATTCTTAGAGACATTTGGGCAAGTCTAGGGATTCTTGTAACTTCCAAGGCAAAAACAATGGATAATAGCAGTAGAAGAAAGCAATTGAAAGAATTATGTAATCAAGAATTAACAAATCACAAGACTAGAAACATTCCTGAGATTGTTAGATGAGAGCCTTGAAAGAAAAAGAATGTTGGACCTAGATAAATGACAATTAAGGATGTCTCTACGTTCCGACAGCAACACATGCCATACTTCCGGAAGCGGATGGTCTGGGAGATCCTGCACCGAAAGCTCTTGTGAAGACTGTCTCAGTGAGCAGACATTGACTTGATGGGGGACCAGCCCTTTGTTGTCTACAGCCAGAGACCTTGGAAACAGCTGCTCCCAACCCTCTGTTCTTGAAAAGCCCATGATCCTGGACCAGGCCCAGGCGAGATGCATTCACAAGCACATCTGCCTTTCCTTTTGTATCTCAGATACTATTTTTGCAAAGAAACTTTGGTGCTGTGAAAGGGTTGAGGGACATCCCTAAGCTGAAGAGAGAGACAGCTTTTTACTTCTTCAGTTCTGCCATCTTGTTTTCAAAGGGCTCCAGCCTCACTGAGTCCCTAATTGGGGGACAGAAAAGCTTGGAACAAATCTTGGTTTCATATCAACACTAGTTGCTAGGCCTTACTAAGAAGTAGGAAAAGGTGTGAACAACAGTTAGGGACAAAAACCTACCAGCATATTCATACACGTATACATTCATGGTGATCAACACGTGCAGTCAGGAGTGTGACAGTAAACTGGACTTTGGGGCACATGTGTGAGTCCCTTCCTCTAGGACCTTTCTTATTTATATGCCCCTTTGTAAAACCTGCTTTTTTTTATAAGGTCTTTTTATCATGGTTAGCTTCAGCCCATCTTGAGGTGTAGCACAGGAGCCCTGGACAGACCCCAGAGTAGCAAGCAGTCCCTTCCTTAAGTGTGGGAGTTAGTGTATGCTCACAGCCTGCCACAGGGAAGACCCACCCAGGGAGTAGTCAGCATCAGCAAAGCAACAAAACTCCACTTTTACTGTTGCCTACTTCTGACCAAGAAGAAGGGCCTCAGTATTGAGTATAAAATTTCAACATTGGCTGAATGCAGGTCTAGTTGGTTTGTGGCTAGTTTAAAATACGTTTCTAACCACAGAAAATCTAAGATATAGATATATATATATATTTCACAGGGATATGGTTTTAAAAAAACTGAATGTGTTCACCATTTAGCCTGTACATTTATTTTTCATTTTTCCAAATTCTAGCATAGAGGTCCCAGCCCTATGTGTAGGGTGTTTGTGGAATTCCTAACAGAATATTTTGAGGCCTGGATAAGCTTTGGTTTAGGGGTAAAAGTTATCAAGGGAGATGCAAATTTCAGCTGAAAAACAGTTGGAGTTGGGACTGATCAACTTGAGATTTAAAACTGCAGTTCCCTTTGTTCTTCTACCATCTCTCCCACCCTCTGAGAGCTCCTAAGGTTTAGATAGTGAAATGATCCAATGCCAGTGTCATTTTGTACTTAAGTTCCAAAATAGGAACATTTTATACTTTTTTCTGTATTGTAATGGGTAGTTTTGTATGAATCTTTTCTCCTCTCGCCTTGTTACCCCATCCTTTTCAGCATTGTGCTTTCTCCTTGGGCTTATTTGAAAATTCTACTCTGTTTTATACCAAGCTTGTTTAGTACATTTTTCTATGTTTTACCACAAGTTACAATTTGAAAAGAAAACTATTTTTTTTAACTATTCCATTGTTAACTGAATGTTACTGTTTCCACTCTAGCAACCAGTTGTCCTGCCTTTTTCATAACTGCCTGCTTTGTGGGGGAAGACCACCGTGTGTGTGTGTGTGTGTGTGTGTGTGTGTGTGTGTGTGTGTGTGTGTGTGTGTGTGTGTGTGTGTGTGTGTGTGTGTGCTTATGCATGCTCGTGTGTAATGTGTGTGCTCCCGTGCATGTGTGTGAGTATTGTTTCCTTCCTCCTTTCCCTCTCCTCACTCCCTTAACTCTTCTCTCTCTCTGGCTCTCCCTCTCCCTCTCCCTCCCCCCCTCTGTTTTCTATAGAAAATAAATCCCTTTCTATGTATGACTTGTTGGGACCTTTCACATTCTCTTTAGGAAGCTGTAGTATGCAAACTTGCTACATGGGCTTCTGGAATGTTGTTTGACTTTTGGTACTTATTGTATTTAAGTGACAACTTGAAAGGTGGCATTATAGTGTCATTTTGGACAATGAATCAAAAGACTTGAGTTTTTCAGGCTCTCTTACTATTGTCTGTGGGAGCTCTTAACAAGCTAGTTCTCTGTATTTATTACTTGTTCATTTAGGTAACATCTGTCTTTCTTCCTCAGACTTTTGTATAGACCAAAGCAACAAATATTTATTGCCATGTATAGTAGAAAATGAAACCTGAAACAAAAGCACTTTGCAAAATGTACAAGGAATTGTTGAGCCTGTCTGAACGTGCCCCCGCCCCCTTCTCCAATGCAGTTTTGTACAAGGTAGGAATCAGGGAACCCTGAGGCTGCCCCATCATTCCAAGCTGCGCCCCAGGGTGGCTCAGTGGCAACCAAGTACAGACTTGTGTAAATGGGTCATCCTTCCCAGACAGCTACCCAGAAAGAACAAGGCTAGTATCTGGAGACTTTTCTTTAGTGCAGAAGTGGGGAAAAGATGTTTCTGCATTCCATGTTATCAGTATCTTGTTTAACCTGCTTTAAATTAAATAAGCCTGTTACTACCTCTGTGCTTGGTGCTTACAATCACCTACCTCCTCTAAAAAGAAGTACTTGAGGGATGATAAGCACTTGATGGAGATACAGACTCCACAATCCTGATGATTATTCCTAGACCTGGGACAGAGAAAAATCATACTGGTCCTGCACATTTGTCACCTGGAACCACTGTCACTCCTAGGAGTCCTGTGTCCTGTGTCCTGTGCAGTACTGAATGTAAGCATCCTGGAAACTGTCACTCACCCTTTCATATATGAGGTACTTCATACTGTTGTATGCTACTGACTTCTCACCATAGTAATCATACTAGCATCTTCTGCCATTTGCCCCTAGTGGTCCAGGAGTAGAAACAATCTGCAAAAACACTTCCACCAAATGCCATCCCATAAACTGTCCAATGTCACCTGACTTTATGTGGCCCGTGGAAGACTATAGTGGGTAGAGAAGGTGAGGAAGACTAGCCTCTGGTCCTTATGTCCCATCCCTCCAGCTCCAAGACTGTCTTTTCAGTAACATAGATGACTGATGTTGGGTTTGGCTTTTCTCCTACTATACCTAGGTGGATCAATGCAAGACTGACCAACATACATTCTTTCTGGGAGATCACATACCCAAGCAAGTCATAAAAGGTTTCAGGCTGTCAGGTCCAGTTAACTCAAATAGGCTACGTGCTGGGCCCTGTCTGAGAGCAGCATATCCACAGCTCCAGATGCATCCCAAAATCTGTGAAAGGACAAGGAAAGTGCAGCATCCTTCCTCACAGTCTAAAGGTTTACCTGTGCTGAACTTTTAACACCTGCCTATGAAAAATAAGTCACCACCATTCTCAGCTTTGGCAGTGGAGGGGGAAAATTGTGGAATAGAAGAGCATTTTGATTACCTATTAAAATGAGGGATAACGGATGCATGTGTCTCTGGGAAAAAAGTTAACCAGGAGGTGCTGAGTTCAAAGGTGAAATTGAGGAAATTTTAATACAGGCTATCCTCTTCAGCCAGTCAGGGAGATAAGGGAAAAAGTCCCAGGGCTGTGAGTAGTTGGACCACATGGCCTGGGTCTTGGCAAACTCTTCCTGATTCTGAGCTATAATTGAGACCTGACATGCTGTCACAGTAGGGGTTGAAGTTGAAGGCCAGTGTTAACACTGGTTTAGTTTTAGAGTTAAGTTTTAAGTGTGATAGACTGAGCTTCATGTTTCCCTCCCCCCCCTTATAAGCTGGGGAGTCACCTTTGATCACTTGACTTCTTGAGGTAGCCCTATAATTGACAGAACACAAATGCTAGGAAAGTGGGAAAGGAGAGGAACATACAGGCACCCAAGTTTACCCAGCTCAGCACCTCATACATTTTACTCCCTTCATAAATAACTACTAAGCACACATACCTAAATGCTGTCTCAAAGCCTTCCCTGGTCACATCTTAAAATTGCTAATCTGGACATCTGTAGTCCTTATTACTATTAGGGAATAGTGTGAAACTAATTACAATATTAGAAAAACTGCATGTGTTTGTACTATCATCCATCTTTTACATCAGGAATGGATGCAGACATGGAGTTACTGAAGGCAGATGAATGATTTAGTGCTTTTCACAAATCATAGGATGAAACTACTGCTTTCTGGCCTGCCAGGAATGAGGTAGGGTTTGCTCTTAATTAGAACATTGTGCTAAGAAGAAGGGCTGCTCATGGCAGCCTTCGGCCTCTGTGGTTCCAAAGGGTTCATCTCTGATTAAACTCCATGCCCTACTTTGTCCTTAAAAGAGATACATTGCCATGTGCCAGTGGCTCATGCTGCTGTAATCCTAGCTACTGAGGAGGCTGAGATCTGAGGTTTGAAGCCAGCCTGAGCCCGAAAGTCTGTGAGATTATTATCTTCAGTTAACCACCAGAAAGCTAGAAGTGGAGGTGTGGCTCAAGTGGTAGAGCTCCAGCCTTGAGTGAAAAAGTAAAGCAAGACTAAAGGTTTTGAGTTCAAGCCTCAGTACTGGCCCCAAAATAAAGAGAAACACTTTGCTTGACAGTCCATGTGCTTTGCTTTGAGGTATGTCATGCTCATTTACACTAGCCACAACTTCCTGTTCTGGTTGTTTTCTCCATCCTTTTTATTTCCAATGACGGTCTACATTCCTTACACCTTGAGCTGGGTCCCTTTCTCTTTGCCTTTAAATATATTTTGCTTAGCTGAAACCCACAGGGAATCTCTAGGCTCGGTGTTTTGTAAGCATGGATTTAAGCATAGGATTTGACAGCTCTGAAAGAAGAGATGGGTTGACCAAGGAAATATAATCTACCTTTTCCTGAGGGTCTTTCAGTCTATAGATTTCTGATTTGAGAGGATAGAGACACCAAATAATAATATGCCTTATCAAGAAGGCTGACTCTTAGATGGGCACCAGTGGCTCATGCCTGTAGTTCTAGCTACTCAGGAGGCAGAGATCTGAGGATTGTAGTTCAAGGTCAGCCCAAGCAGGAAAGTCTGTGAAACTTATCTCCACTAAACTACTCTGAAAAAGCTGGAAGTGGTGCTGGTGGCACAAATGTTAGTGCATTAGCCTTGAGCAAAAACAGGGACAGAGCCTAGGTTCAGAGTTCAAGACCCAGGACCACGCCTCTACCCTACCTACCCCCCCCCCCCCCAAATAAAACAAAACAAAAAAGGTTGACTCTTAATACCTAGTTCAGAATGAATGTGAAAATATAAGATGGCAGGTCACAGAAGTCAGGAATGATATTGCTTTTGCCTTTCAATGTGTGATTCTCCTTAGTTTTTAAAAAGTTGACTTATTTAAAATAAATTCTGTGGATTTTGCTTCCTTCCTTTGGAAACGATCCTGGTAAAAAGGACTCCATGATATTTGTCTCTCTAAGACTGTCTCTGTGACTGTTTGTTCTGTCTCTCGGTGCCTGTGTCTCCTGATCGGAGCTGGACCAGGGGATTGGATCTTCAGTGTCGTCTGGATTTCTGAGTCCACCCCTTCATCAGGAGTCTGAATACTGTTCATTCATTCATTTCATTCCACACACCTGGAAGTAAAGCCTGGAACGCAAATAACATGCAAATCTGTGGCTTTCTGGCCCCTCTTTATAAAAAAAAAAAAAAACCCAGACCAGTCTGTAGAGCCTGCCAAAGAACCCTCCTGAGGCCAAGCGTACCAGTCTGGATTCCAACCCACTGCTAACTGTACTCCTTGTCTTCCTTGCCCCTCACCCACAACCCTTTCTCCTCAAATCCTTCCCACTGCCCCACACATTCATAACAAGAGCACTAAAAGCACAGCTAATGAAAAGTCAGCGGTGGAGGAGAAATGGTTAGGTTAGAAGAGCTCTCTGGGGATGTGTTTGAGCTCCTAATTTTTTTTTAGACATGGTTAAGATTTTTTTTTTTCCATCTGACAGTGGTTGGGGTGAGGAGAGAAACCTTCAAGCCACCTTTTTTTCTTTTCCTAATTCCTAAATGTGGTTAAAAATAGCTGATCAGTGCCTCTGTCTGCACTGTCTGTCACCAAATGGTCCTTCAGATTAGGGATCTACATTAGGGCATGAGAATCAGCCTCTCCCCCAATAACTCCTGGGTGGTTGCTCTACTCTGGTCTTGGTTCTGCAGAAAATTCTGCAGAGAAGAGGGTGGATGCCTATTCCTTAAGGAATGCTTTCCAGATACTTTTTTTTTGTGGGTCGTGGGGCCTGAATTTTGGCCTCAGCTCTTCAACTCAAGGCTAGCTCTCTATCACTTGAGCCACAGTGCCACTTCCAGCTTTTTCTGCTTATGTGGTGCTGAGGAATTGAACCCAGGGCCTCATGCATGCACTGAGCCACCTCAGCCTCCAGATTCTTTTCTTGAACCCTAGGAACATTTACTTTGATACCTACTTATGCCCATTTCTCATCAGCCCAATCTTTGAATCACAGAGCCATCTTCCAATTATATTAATAGTTGTATATCACTTTATGCATTATTTCATTCATCCTCACAAGTCTGATCTAGAGGTTAGCATCCCCACTTTGCAGATGA